ACTAAGTGACCCCTTCACCAAAAGCCGTAAAAAAACCAACAGTGAGGTAAAGTTGAGGCAAAGGAGACATTTGTAAAGGACTTGTTTGTTTATCGGAAAGGAGTAAGAGGGATTATAGGCTTTCACGAACTTCGAGGAGGAAGAAAATAGTAGCTCCTATAGCTGCACAGCAACGTCAGCGAGAAAATCTCCGTGGTATAACGTTTCCCTTTGGTTTTAGGGAATAAGTAATAAATAGTTTGCTTAGAGTCCGTTCATAGAAGTACCTATTGAAAGGTGTGCCCAGTGATTTTTGGACACGAGTTCTCAACATAAAAAACCCAACTTTTGTAGATGAACATCTTGTACGCCGAAATGGCCACCATTGGAACCGCCTCGTCCTCCGCTTTCATAAAATATATACTTGGCCTAGGGTCCGTTAAAAAGTGCCTGGTGAAGGCGGGGGGGGGGGGGGGAAGGGGTGAGTCTCTTATAATGGGAGTTCTCAGGTGGAGGCATTTTTACCATTGTAAAAAGACGTCTACTTGAGAACTCCCATTATTGGAGTCTCATCCACCCTTCATTAGGCACTTTTCTCAATGGACCCCAAGCAAAGGATATATTTTCTGAAAGCGGCGACGAGGCGGTTCCAATGGTGACCATCTCCACGTACTATCTGTTCATCTACGAAGGTTAAGAAATTTTCAGTGATAAAAACGCAAAAGTCTCCAAAAATCACTAATCACAAATCACTAAAATCACTAAAATCACTTACACCCTTCACCCAGGCACTTTCTCGAAGGGATCTCAGACATGCTATATATTTTCTGAAAGCGGAGGATAAGATGGTTTTAAAAACAATTTCCTTGCTGATGTTGCTGGTCATCTACAGAAATTACGAATTCTTTTAGAATTGTCTTTCCGAAACAAATGTTCTCATTCTATGGTAGTTTCGAAAACAGGCAGAGTGATGTAAAAAAAGGGAAAAGAAAAAATGTAAAAAACAAGGTGCTGGTCAGAAACATAATTGTGGGTTAATCCAGCAGCACATCAGTTCAAGTTTCAGAAAAAAAGACAACAATGATGGCGAGGAATTGAAAATTTTGACTATTGAAAACAATGAGAGAACACCATGGCTCCCCCCTCTCCCCCACCCCGCCAGTCGTCATTTTAAAATTTCTCTACCAAATAAAACACCCTTCATCCGGAGGAGTTGCAACCACTGTGACCCCCTTCACCCTGGAAGGGTCATTTTCAACTTATCGCAACTATGTTGAAGTGGTTACTAGTAACAGCTCAAAGGCGATCCACAAGCGCTATATCCCATTGAACAGCCATCAACCGCCCGCACTCCCAATTCAATCGCTTCGCAGTGACTTCGCACACAAGTGTCTCGGACAAATCCTAGAAGTTTCACGTTTTTGATTACAAGAATATTTGAGTTATTTTCAACCGGATTTTTGCGTTCCACATTAACATGTGAAAAATCTTCTTGGAAGGTTAACTAATATCTACGCTACTTCTAGGAAGAACTGCTGAAAATTCCACCGTATATTGCTGATGTGTTTCAGTAAAACATAGGCCAATCAAGAGTTTTCAAGAAACAAGAAAACCCATTCTGTTTGATAGGTTTTCATTTAGGACTGTGACGTCGTTCAAATTCAAATGGGGTGTTCGTCAAATCGTAGAGCGGTTTCAAAGAAGGAAGGCCAAGAGTAGCTTTTTCACGTCCATACTGTCAATTTAGTGCCGTGCTGTTCACTTCTGCCCTTCATGTCATTCATGGCTAAGCAAGCAATATAGCTGCAACATTGTTTCTTGAGGATGTCGAATGCACCGCACTCTGCGAGATGCATAAAATGCAAATGATATGCGCGCGTCCCGTAAACAAATATGATTGATATAGTCACATTAAGGTGTTTCCCACTTTTTTAGTCCATGGACAACCCTAAGGTTCAATCGCATTTACTTTTTGGATTATTCGTGAGTTGCGCTGTTTACATACGTATCTTTAACTGCATATTCTGCTGACGCCCATATAGACAACACAAAAAAGATCAGCCAGCACAAACTGCTGTAAGTTAGCAGAGGTGAAGTTTACAGCAGAAACGTTGACAAAAAACAGCACGTTTTGTCTTTATTAGTGGTCACTTTTTCAATCCCTTTGTGAGGCCGCTTTTATTCTGCCCTTCCCCAAAATATAAGAAGGAAGCATATCTTGTCGAAAAGTGCAGACATGCATCAATCGATTTTCAACCACTTCGGTTTGACTGTATTGAAACGCGCACTCTGGCAAATTTTATGTTTAGCGACAAGTGCGAGAGACTCGTTCTAGAGCGAAGAAGAATCCCAAGTTCGTAGCAGAAGCACAGATAGAAAAAGTCCTTTGTAGACTTACAAGGCTGTACTAAGTGTAGCAAGTACTACCATGACCCAATTTTAATGCATCAGTCCTAAGAAGGAAAAACTGTGCAGATTTAAAACATGCACTCCTCCTTCATTTGTATTTGTGCCTTTGATTTTCTGATTTTGATTTCTGATTTGCAAAAACGGGACAAACAATAATGAGGGTATCTTAACAGTGTATGGAGCTTTTTGAAATACGCCCTTCAAAGATTGTTTGAACTTAGTGGAGTGCGGCATTTTCTGGGTTGACCAAGCGAGTTTCATTTGGTAGAACTCGCATACGTTGAACCTCAGTTCTAATGCTAAACAGCGGAATCATTAAGCCCATATCGAAGGCGACGCTCGCATGACAGAAGCTGCTAGTCTACAGATGTCGCTATTGTCAAAGCTCCATAAGGGTCGGGCCACCACCTCTTTCAAGCAAAGTTCTGCTTTGAGGGAACGAAAGCCAAGTTTGGGAAATACGAAGTTGATGAAGAACACACCCAATTTTGTTCCACGACCTGATGTGAATTTGAGAGCAGAAAAGTATGAAGGAACGATCTCTAAAAAAACTCTGAATTGAAAATCATAAACCAACATAAACTGCTTCAAAAATCATCGTTTGAGCTTACGAAGCAAAACAGGAAGCCATAGAAGACTTCAATTGAAGAATAGTACTTAGAAGTTGGACTTTGAGAAAAATATGCAGAGTTCGCAGAAGCTTTGTCAATGTTTGAACTCAAACAGCACTAGTTGTTTCTACAAAATGTAATAGCATCCCAAAGCTCAATGGACTAATCATGCACAACTTCCAATCAAAAACGCCCACCTGCTTCCTGTTAGTTACCGAAAGTTTGTTTATTTCCTCCAAGATTCGATTTGGCACCATGTTTATGAAGAACTGCACAGCAGTGATAATAGATTTCGAAATGGAAACCCTAAAGAACCTTCCACCTTATCTCACCAGGGTCCCTTCATGCGCTGTTTGACGGAAGTAAACGAAAGGCCGTTAACACCGCTCTGCTGTACAAGGGGGCTCCCTGCAAAATTGACACTACAGACTACTTCTCACGGGGTAGAGGACTATATGTCGCCGAAAAGGGCGGTCCCCGCGGTCATTTGCGACAAATACGCACACCCGTACATGCGCGGACATGCGTTCCTGCGGAAAATCCGCGCGGGACTCTTCCAATCGGCGACATATAGTCCTCCGCCCCTTCTCGCGCACTTCGAGCGAGCTACGTAATACCCGTCACAATTGAATTAAGCAGGGGCACTCACGTTGTTACGTCAAGGCCATTCTTTGTTTGCATATGATGAAAATTTCGGATATCTGTGATGTAGTTTGTACAAAAATATTTAGATTGTTTATATCATGATCGAAGTAAATCTATTGTGTTCTGATTTATATGATTTGACACCAAACACTAATAAGAGCGATGGTACAGATAATACAAGCATGGATATCGAAGCATTCAAGGTGTGAACTACATGTAAAGCATTTGTAGCTGTTTGGCCCGACTCTCAAGAACCAATTTTAAATTTACATTCTCAACTTTTATTCTAGGTAATCTTGTCAATGGCAATGCATGCTATATGTATCCTATGTTTCGTGGTATGTCTAATGGCAAGTAATGTTGCAGTGTGCATGAAATTGCTACCTCCTATAGTGGTATGCCATAAGTTCACATCATTTCATGCAATCTCAAAGTCAATTCGATAAAAATAAGTGATGTGGTTTACAACAACATCTGTGTACCAAATATTGATGGCGTAGTTTTTGACACATCGACGACCTTTTGACACATCATGTGTGTGAAGCAATGATTACTACTGGGACCGCTTGGCACCCATGTTGTGTCAGGGTTTGAATTTTGAAAAAATGACGACAGTCCTGAAAGAAAAATTTCAGGAGTTTTTCGCTTGCGCTGCAACTAAAAATAATCACTATCTGCTTTCTTAGTCTTACAGAGCTACTGTAGGTGTACTGTAGGTGGCAGTATGCGTGATTTTATATTTATATTTAAGATTTTATAAAAAATATTGACTGATTTATGACATATCTTGGTCCTAAAAGGCAGACAGCTTGAAATCTTTGCGGTCAATGTGTTAACGAAGACAAGTCAAAAACCAGTTCTTTTCAATCAACTATAACTCTTGTCTAGAATCTTTGCTCGAGAATGTTAGCCATCTTTTTTTGCACAAAATTGTTCAGGAGTGATGCCAAAGCTATGGATTAACGATTAAGCCGTAGGAACTCCTAACTCCTTTTGATCATACATCTATTTCAAATAGGAAACAAGGGCCACTTGTTCAATTCTGCTGGAGACATAAAGATTGATACATTATAAAGTATTTGTAATGTATACTACGCAGTTGGGATGACGCATTCTGTTGTGACATAATGCGTACAGCAAAGAAGTCGCTACTTTCAACTGAAATCTTTTGGTTTTCGAGACTATCTTCTACTTTATTTTAGCTTGATCGGACGTGAATTAGTAGCACACAAGGCGTATTTTACGCGACCTCAGTCGCTGCGCGATCTGGCGCTGCAGCGACCTGCTCATAATTGGTCGTTAACGCACTTCGCTTGAGGCAGACCCGATGCTTTTGTTACATGTTTACGAAAACTATGCGCTTATGCAATTGAGATCCACGCACGATCAATCTACAAACATTTGGCAAGTCATCAAGTCGCGAGGATGTAGCGACTCGACGGAATCGTGGGAAATATGCCTTAGGCCTCACACTTTGTTCCGTTAGAAGAGCTTTTACTGGCGGGTTAGACGTAAGGTTCGCTAATTGCCTCGCGCAGTGTGCAGCCTCACATATTAGGATGAAATGATTCGCACATATGTATAGCTTCGGCATCACGACTGCCACAATCTCCGTCTTTAGCCAACCACCTGATCACGAAAGTAAATAACAACAATTTGATACCACAGCATTCTGCTGTAAAGCTTATAGCACTGTCTTGCCATCCGCCTGAACGGCGCATGCAAACGGCACACTGAAACGCTTGAACGCTTGGTAGCTTAGTCTGGTGGGCGCATGTTTTCGGAGTGTATAAAGACTACTGGTACTTCTACACTGAATAATAACAGATTGTTACTTAGTTTGTGACATATGCAGTCATCATGGTACGAAGTTTGTAAACAATTGCTTAAACTTAGTGACACAGTTATCTATAATTTAACTGCCGTAACGCCTGTTCATGTTATAACAAACTTTAATTGTTTCTTTTGCTGTGCTGAGCGTGTCGGTAGCATCTTTCAAGATTTACCATCAGGAGCCTGGAAGAAATTTTCAATTACAAGGTAAACCAAACGCCAAACATATCCCTCTAGTCGCCCCTCAACTCGTCCAAAATGAAAGTAGAAAACGTTAGTAAAGACACTCACTGGGGTAGGCGGAGCAGCTACATCGCAGTGTCGACAATAGGATAAAAAGTCTTACTCAAATAATCTCTGTATCCGCATTATGCGAATTAAGTGTACGAGTGAGAGGAGGTGCTGAAATTAGAGTTGAAGTAATGGCTTTGAGTCTCAACACGGAAGGCAACTGACTTAAGTTTTCCTTTCAAGTAGAGATATACAAGCCGAAATTGAAGGATATGTTGCTTGTAACTGGCGCGTTATTTTGAAGCGTGTGAGATGTTTTCGGAATCGGCATAATACTCCACATGAGAAGACTGCCTCTAACTGAAAATCTGCCGAAAAAAGGTGCTGGACACAAAGCAATATCAGGTCGAGCTTTTTGTCATTGACAAAGAACCTAGGTAAATTACCCTAATTTCACGCGTACACGGCGCACGTTTTTCTATTTTCAACCAAGCTTAGCCGTTTCACTATAACTCGGAAAGCGATTTTTATGTTGCACAATATTTTATAGCAATATACAACACAGTAAGGGTCCTTTGATTGCCAAGACCATTGGTGTGTTTGGGTTGGTCGATTTTGGAAAAAATTTCCCACTCCTTGTACGCTTGAAATTAGAGTAGAACTTTGAAGACGACAGCGTAATGCCAGCAAGTTACGCAAGTTTTGCGCAAAAAAAGTCAACAGTCATCAGAATTACGCGCCTGCGCTAATAACAGCATAGTTGGAACCAGTGTTTTAATTCAATTTGATATATCACTTGTCAAGTGGAGCAAGTGACGGAGTTTGGCGCGTGTCTCAAGGGACGCAGCCGAGACCGAGAAGTAAAGCAGTAGAGCCTTCCTGGCATAGAAAAAGAACTAAAATTCTATTATGTCCTGTTTGTGACTTGAATTCATGAAGTTCAGATTCTCACAGTTTTGATATTTAACATAATCTTCAATATTGCTGGTGCATTACCTCTATGGCTTCATAAAGCGCCATACTGTCGTGGAGGATTTTCCCATTCGATAAGAGGCTCTGCGGTTGGTTTAACGTTGAACAGCAGTTATTTTAGCACAACGAATAAAATAAGAGAATTAGCAAAATCGCAAACATATCCCTATGAAGAAATTTTCAAAAATCACAGTGACTCATTCAGGTTATGTCAACCGTAGCATTGGCATATAACGTCGGTCTTGCAATATTATACTGTGCTTCTCCATCAATTCGCAGAAGGTCAAGTAGAGAAAGATATTTGCTAAAAGATGAAAAAGCAGAACTTGAGAAAAATAAAGCAGGAAAGAAGGAAGTCAAACCCAAAAAAGGATCTAAACAGGCCAGGTGGGAGCTTGAGTATGTTGATACTCTCTGTCTTTGCAAAAGAAGATTTCAGTGAAGATGTCGAAAAACCGGCTGAGTCTTCTGATTTACAGGAGAGCCATGACCAAATTAAACCAAGGTGAGACCTTGAGCATTATGATGTTGTATCGGCATGAACGATAGAATACTGCAGTGGAGTTGATTTGAAAAAACCAGCGCCTTCTCCGGATTCGCAGGACACTCGTGAGCAAAATAAAGCGAGGTGAAACCTTAGGCGTTGCAATGCTCATTCTGCTTAACAATAGAATATTCTAGTGAATCAAACGTAAAAAAATCGACCGGGTCTTCTGACTTGCAAGAAAGTCGTGACCAAAATAAACCAAGGTAGGACGTTATCACTGTGCGACTTATCCCTTGAGAACAAAACGTTCTAGTGACGCAAACGTGAAGAAACTAACCGCGTCTTCTGATGTGCAAGAAAGTCGTGAGCAGAATAAAGTGAGAAAATATATGTATAATAAAAAGTGTAGCGCTTCAGAAGGAATTTATCCATTAACTTTTTTTTAGGTTTTGCAAAAATAGTGCAGAACCTTACTAAGGAATGGTTAGAAATCGAAGTGGCCAATCCAAGCAGGCTCATACCATTAGATGCAGCTTAAGCGCTGATTTCGAGCTATATTCCATATCTGCTTATCGCCTACATGGGCGAAGTTATGAGCCGTTAGAGGCCGTTATTTTGCTAAAAAATCGCGTTTGCAAAGGGATTTGGCAATTCAGTGCCATGTCCGGCTTAATACAGGGTTATGGTTGCAGCTGGGTTACTTCATATTTTTAAACCCTAAAGGTGAGCTAAAAGTGCAACAATGCTCTTAATTTCGCAATTTTTACGTATGATTTTTTTGTAATAGCATTGATCTAAATTAGCCAAAAGCGCTATGCAGATATGGAATGCATATTCGATCAGCGTTAAAAGCTGCATAGAATGCTAGGCAGTTTGTTCAAGTTGGCCACTTCGAATTCTGACCATTCCCTTGTTACAAAACCGCAATTTGCAGCGAAGTTCGAAATCATCAAGGCAAAAAAAGAGCGCGGGTGAACAAGGAGGTGCTGAGACAGATGAACTGCCGCAAAAGAAATCCAAAGACAAAGTGAGAAAATATACATAAAATAGAAAGCGTAGCATTTCGGAAGTATCAACGCTAACAATTTTTGGAACTTTGCAGAAAAGTGTAGAAATTCAACAAACTCACAATTTGCAGCGGAATTCAAAGTCACCAACGCAGAAAAAGGGCGCGGGTGAACAAGAAGGTGCTGAAGACGAAATACCGGCAAAGGAGTCCAAAGACAAAGTGAGAGGATCACGGTCGCACACAGTCAAAGAATCCACTTTTTGATAACTTGTTTTTGCATTGTGGAACAATTCGTACAAGACATGAGTTGTTATTTGTTTTGGGATTAGCTTTCGAGTTTAGGAACACAAAGTTGTCAAGGCAGCTCAAGTCAAAGTGAGCGATGTAAATTTGAAAACAGCAATGGGGAACGTAGGTTCACCCCCAGACGAAAGCTAATCTGAGAGCTATTGGAATGAAGAATATCATAAGCATCGAAAAAGTCAGATTTTCTATTCCAAAATTTTGTGTGGAAAATGTGATATTTTAGATACTCTACACTAGCTGCAAATAGGAACATTATGTTTCTTTGTCAATAAACAAATTCCTTACATTTGCATTTGCTTTTCTTCCTGAGTATGAGACCCCTTCCTTTCACACCTTGATCATAGTAATGTGATTCGCCAGCTATGACCAGGTCGTACATGAGATCTATCTTGATACCGGATTTGATTTTTTCTTCGCATAAGGAAGGAAGTATAAATCTTTGACCGTTTTTCCTCATGACATCTTTTTTCATCTAGGCCTTCTTTGGATAGCTGATTCCGGATGTCATGATTCATTATATCGACTCATGTTTCAGTGGACATGTTCGGATATCGTTTAGGTTTGAGTGAACAGCGCCAACGTGTTCACTCAACTGTTCTCTCAACCTCGATATATGATTACACCTCACGATATATGCCCTTACTGTAAGAAGGAAGAGCAACAACCGTTCCAGAATTCTCAATTAAAATGAACTAGGTTGCAATTTTAGACCTCAAACCTCCATTTGATCTTCCATTCTCGCTGTGATACTTTGAGATATCTCAGGAAGTAGAGTTTTTTGTAGAGTTTCAGACAGTAAAAGCTCAGAAATTTGGAAGTAGGACGGCGAATAGCTAAAAGAGAAGCAGGAAGAGTAGCTAAAATATGGACCACGCCGCTTTGCGTGGCATGGTCTCTGCAGGCTGCAGCCCATGGTAGCGCTCGCGTGCAGGTGTGTGACTGCACTACGCGGCGCTGGTCCCGTTGAACGCACTGTGTTTACGAATATGGAGACAACAGGTAGAGTGATCGCAGAGTGAGTGATTACGTAAGTGTTGTACCAAGGCGTACCATTTGATTCAACTGGCTTGGCATCGACAAAGGCGGGGCTTCGTGACCTTATTAAGGCTAGGTAATGATCAGAGAGCACTCGCGCGAGAAAGACGCAGGTGCGTCGCGGGCGCGAGCGGCCTCAATTAGATCACAAAACTCCGCCCTAATGGTGCCAAGCCAGTTGAATCAAAGGTTAAGCTATGCGGGTAGTCATTATTATATCTCACCTTTGCAAGTTGAAAAGATCACTGCGCTTATTGATTTTGGCAGGCAGCACCTTATCACTATTTGTAATCGGGGGATTTGAGGTTAAGAAATTCTTTGAATGTATCGAAAACAAGGCGTTACTTCCACTTCGCGCAGCAGGTTTGTACAGCTTCTACCATTTAGTGCCTTTTTCCTTCTCGCATGATGTTGAAATCTGTGGCTGTATTCATCAACGAACCTTAAGGTCAATATCTACCTACGCCTGAGGTAGATTTTAAACTCAAAGTATCTTTGCTACTCACAAATCTACTTGAGAACTTGAAACTGCCTGGTAATCAGCGAAAGGTCGATGACGCTTATTTGGGACCTGTTATGACATATTAGGAGTGTATGAAGTTTTACGGTATCAGTGATTCTTTTCACTCAAAATCAAAACACCCTCATATGTGGAAAAAATTATTTTAAACGGAAAACATTGGAGGAGATTCTGCATGTATAATTAAGATAATACAAGCTTCAAAAACCGAATCATCACCAACTTTCAATCAGCTCTCACTCAAGCATCACTGCTCCGCAAAAAAGCATATTTACTGTATAATCTAAACTCAGATTCGCTATTAGGACATGCATTTGACTCTTGATCTGTGCCGTGAAAAACACATGCGTTGGGATTCAGTCCATTCACCAGTATTGGGGGGACACAAATCTTTGATACAGCAGTTTCCAAGGATTTAAATCAAGCTTCTAAGCTTGCAAGTGCAGAAACCTAGTTTCCTTTTTGTTCTTGTGGTTTTCATAATGTCTCCTGTTTTGTCATACAAAAAGGGCCTTACTTTATTCTGTCAGTAATTTTCGACTATTGAATGACGCATCTCACATATTTCTCAGCGACTAGAAATCACTAGAGAGCGTATGAATTTTTACCAAACAATTCTAATTTTTTTTACGCCTCAAAACTCGTTTTCTTGTGTACTGACTGCAGAAAATGTAAGGGCGATTTATCGCAAGCAAAGACTGAAAGTCACTTAACTTAGGTCGATTTTTTGAAATGGGACACATATATTTAGAATCAGCTCCGAACACTGATTCCAAATATGCTGTCCTTAGCTGCGAAGCGTTCTGAAGCAAATTACGAAGTCCTTTTCGTAATTCGCTTCGAAGTAATAACGTCTGTTAAGATAGTTAACCAGGGAATCAAAATAAGAATAGCTAATTCATGGGCAGGTCACAGTCTCATGTTTGCATAATAATATCACCGATAATCCGCTTCTAAACATTATTAATGGAGGCAAAAGCGAAAAGCGTTGGCGGAAGCCGATCCGCTCACCTTCTGACTTTGAAGCTAGACACTTGCCACTTCACCACGAGCACATTCTGAGTTACCGCTAGCCTTTTATCTAGACTGCCGGCGGACGGCATAAGTCACTGTAGGACTGCTCTGTGACTATAATCATCAGTAATTTCTACATTTCCATAAAGCAATGATCCCAATTTGCTCGAATTAGCTCCAATCTCGGTATTATCTTCTTCACCTAACCATTTTGGATCTCCGTCATTACTCTGAAGCGAGTAACGAAAAGGTTAGAGTAAGGTCCTCTCGTTAGGTTAAAGTAACGTCCTCTCGCTTTAGACGAACGCTTCGCAGCTAAGGACGGCATATTTGGAATCAATGTTCCGAGCTGATTTTGAATATATGTATCTCATTTCGAAAGGCCGACCTAAGTTAAGTGAATTTCCTTGTGAGATCGTTGCATGGAAGAGACAGCAGAGGCAACAGGGATGAAAGAGCGCTCGATCGGCGAGACGCCGACAGCGTCTGTAATAACGCCCTTTCTTGGCATGCGTAAATCGTCTATACGCGCTTTGGCTTACCGATGATAGGCAGCTGCCAAAATCTGGGGAAAGCGAGCAAATTCCCTGTTTTGTCAGGGTGAGCAAGAGCTAAAGCAAAAGGAAAACACAAAAAAGCCACCAGTTTGTATTTAATAAGACAGGAAAAGTTGACCCTTTCAAGACTTAGAGGCACCGCCTACCCAAGGGGGGGGGGGGTTGACGAGGTTATGATAGCTACTAGCGTGGGCCACCACACCAGGTAAACCCAAGTTACGTAGCAAAAGATTGCTTTTGGAGCGAGAAATCCGTTCCGGAAAGGACGTAATTCGGTACTGGTACGGTACCGAATTACTGGTATGGTATTCGGTACGTAATTCACTCCGCCCGCTTTGCAGGTTTGCAAATGACGCGGCCGGCGTATAGCAGCGCCGCAGCCCCGCGACTTGCATTGCGCCCATCCCGAAAACTGGGGTTTTAGGGGTTTCGCGGATTCTCGGCTCTATAATCGAAATCAGGGCCTTCAGAAGGTCTGGAAGTGATAAAAACATGAATTTCGTAGTTGAAATTTGGGTAGACAGCGTTTTTAAAACCTTGCAAGTTTACATCATGTCTTCAAAAACCATAGTTAGATGAGAAAAATAGATGGGAATTCAAGTTTGTAGCAATTACAAATACAATGCCTTTGAATGCTCTTGAAAACAGTATTGTCACATCGAGGTGATGTGAGATTACAACTTTTTCGAAGGAAAAAAGAACTTTTTCCTGATGGAGGGTCATTTCAGTTGCTTTTTTGTTTCAGCGATCTTTCTCTCATTTGTATAATTGAAGTTGAACAGTGCTACTATTCCATTATTTAGTTGACGCTCTAACAGGATAAATTTGCACGGTTCAAAGTTTTTACATGTGAATTAAGCTCAGAAGATCAAAAAGCATAAATCTCATCGATAAAGCTTGGTTGTAAGACGGCTGCAAGCTGCAAAACATGTTTCTGACGCGGCACGAGCTCGCTTGAATGATCATCGATGATCATTCAATCACTTTTTTCAGCGAATGCAAAAATGTTGTGAAAAAAGCTCATTTTCGCCATTTTCAAGCGGGGCAAAGCCAGATATGAATCTAGCAAGGCCAAAGGGCTCCAAAAAGATGAAAACTGGAAAGTGAAATCATGTCAGGACACTGCCCATTCTGCAAATGACCTGCCCAAGGTGCATCAAATAAAAAAGTAACAAGCTACAGTGACTTATGCGCCATCTTTGTTCGAGTGCGTAGAGGACATTCCTACGCGAAAAACTAGCACAAATCGTGCACACCTTATACATTGCCTCTAGCGAGACCTCTTAGAAATCGTTGTAATCCCAATGTAGTCAGTACACTGACTGAGCACTTCATATCGATAATTGTGGACCTCAATCGTTCTTAGGAAAGACTTTATTTTTGTACGAGAAAAAATACGAAAAAAGAGCGATATCAACAACTCGCAATGACTTTTTTCTAAGATTTAAAAACTTATGGCAGGATTAGAGCGATCACTTTTAAGACTGAAAACATTCTGAGAAATAGTTCACAAAGAATCTTTTGTAGAAAATAATTTAGGCATCATAGCATTCATTTATATTATAAGTAATCGACAAAAAACCGTAAAATACGCGTTGCGCATGAAACATAATGATATCAATGGGATATCTATAATACACGTGAGATAACCATTCACACTCGAAAACTTTGATATCGGACAGTTAAACAAGTGAAAGCACCTGAGATTGAAGGAATACAAGTTGTAACATATTATATATTAAACATGAGTGTCACATTGTTTTACAACCTTGAATCTTTTCAAAAAATTCCACTTTTCCATGGTGGTCTTACCCGACCAATTCGAAAGTGATTTCTTTTCGGTTCCATTTGTTATCTGCGTTCCATTCGTCAATATACTCTCCATAGAGGGTTTTTGAACGAACATGACACTTTTTTTCGTCGCAATCGAATTGCCAGAGCCACGACGAGTGTGAGCACTTCCTAAAAAGAAATTAACATTTTTTAACATTGATATGACGAGCCGTATAAGCCACCTTTTCTATAACTGGGTAATCCCAGACTGCTCCTCGTCCCCTGTGCTTTTAGTTGGGAATTTCGTGAAGATGTTACAGCATGGAACTCTTCGTCCGAAGCCAAGAATCGCCATCCAAGTAATCGACGTAATGAGACTCGGAAGCGTCTAGAAATAAGACTATTTATTCCAATGTTTCTCAAAAAATATATATAATTCTCCCAAAAAACATCTTTAAATTATTGGAACTTGCAATATTTTTTGTCTGAAGTTTATAAATTCAAAAAAGAATTGTACCTACCTTGACATAAACATGTATATAGCGAAGGAAATGGGATGAAGCGTGATAAGAATGATATTTGAGAAAGATCGTAGATACGCAGAATGGGCGAATTCCAGTGAGCCGAGGGGAAGGAGATCGGACAGCTTTACCAAGATGATCAGTATCATCGATGGGGCTCTAAAAGCGATAGATTAGTGAGTTCTCATAATGATAAGGCCATTTGATGATATTTCCAAAGAATATTCTATGTATGGCACTTTTGAACCAGGGGGGGGGGGGAGTCGCAAAATTTTATGAAGCTACCTCAATGGGTTAATTGCGCAAGCGGACTAAGCTTTTACTTGTAAGTATTTACATTGAAAGGGCCTGCCATCATATAAGTCCGTCTGCGGATAAGTCTGGACTTATCTAGTAGTCTTAAAACTTATCTCACAAGTTTTAGGGTAGTAATGGAAAAAAGGACTTATCTGTAGGGCGGAGTCATCTGAAGGGTCATATGGCGCTCTTATCTGGGTCGAAAAAGCGGACTTATCTGTATGATTTTAGGGCATAACAATTTTTGAAAACTTTTAGATAACCTATTTTTGCAAAAAAAAATTAGGGAGGCGTAGGTGTACTCGCTAGAATTTGAAGCACCCCAAAATAATCTCTTCTCATGGGGTTATAACCCCCTTCGCGTCCATTCGAAGAAAGTTTTTGCGTCGCAAAAATTTCTCGGACATAAACTGATGTATGGCAATCGATTACCATACCTAGCCAGTAGAAACAATGCGATGATTACGGTAAGCATGACGGTTGTATTTCTTGAGGCTGAGCTAACACGTTTGTGACGACTCACTTCCGCAAAGTTCGCTCTAAAAATCCAAAGATTTACGATTTTGTCCAAATTCATAAGTTTTTTAAGTTGAACAAACCTCAATTTACGTGTGTCCAGCGTTTGCATCGTTCTTATAAGTAGAATGGTGATGATGAACAGAAGGACGGATGGTATGACGATGAGACCTAATCGGAAACAATCGAAAACCCATGCGACTCTGTCGGGACCCATAGCTCGTGTAAGCGGAGAATGTCCAATAAAACATCGTGCCACCCAGAATGATGCAGTTGGGCCCTGAAAAGAGTTCTTTTTAGGATTTTCTGTTTCATGATCATTGAAATGAATACGGTAGTGATTCAAAATAAGGTTTCATCGGAGAAGAAATGACGAGCATTTTGAAAAACTTGATTCGTCTGTTCTTTATTTGGACATGAAACCCTAGCGGGATTGAAAGTCAAGATGATGAATCAGTAACTTTGCGTTACACGTTTGGAATTCATTTTTATTCAGAGATCACTAGATTCGCAAGTGAAGATCGCTGAAGCCACACAATGGATGAAAACCCGGTTAAGATTATGATTTTTCGCGATTATGTAGGTCATCACAACCATTGAGTCATTGCAAATCTTCATTTTCCAACAATCAAAAAAAAGTGATGGATTTTTGGTCCCTTTCTATCACAGCGTTGGCGCAAAGCGCACACACGGATATTGCAGACACCTTGATCTCGGTGATAAAGTCTGAACCCGGACTAAACCCAGATATCCTTGCATATAAGCCTGCTAAGGCGATAAAAAACCCTATTTCGTAAGTGGTCGCAGTTTCCAGGGATTTCTTGATACAGTAACCCTCCTAGCGACTATGGAGCACAAGATACCTCTAATACTATGCAAAATCCCTCCGTAAATTTTACAGAGGCATTTGAGATACGTTATGAGCAGACATATGCCAAAAAACAAGGGATTAAAATGCTCACCCTGATGCAAAAATGATAGATGACTCGAATATCGAATGTGAAATGAATCAGCGTAAGTACGGTAGCCAAAACGAGAATCGCTTTGGAATAGCGTCGAATTAGTCGACGTGAACACCATCGGAACGAATCGAGTGGGTATTGGACGGCGATAAATCTGAAATTGAGATTGGATTGCTCGAAAAGTTTCATAAAGGAAAAAAAAGAAAATGCGAAAAGAAAGAAAAGAAAATCTTCACCAATTTTATTCAAAATACTTGCTTGCAAATCAGCTTCAAAACAAAGAAAATTTGGCGGAAGGAAAGCAACGACATGTCTGTCTTTTCTATTCGCCTATCAAGCAATTCAAAATGATCTCGTTAAATATATCGTGCTTTCATATCTCACTGTCATATCTATCTGTCTTTCCTTCTCATTTACTTAATGATAACGTTTGAGTCGCATTAATAACAGAATTCTAAGAAGCGAAAAATCTCAATATGCATTATAATTGACGAAAAAACTAAAAACGTTTCAAGTAGAAGTGTCATTGCTAATCATAGCTTGCTTTGAATTATTTTCTGACTTCGTCAAAAATTATGGTACGATGCTCCGATCTCGTGACATCATTCTTTCATTCGACAAAATATCGCCTATGTTTCCTTTCCTCGTTCTTCCTCAAATCATGCAAAGAATTCCAAGTTCTTTTGAGAGAATTTGTCGATCTTAACACCTTCTTATATCAAGATTTGGATTTGGATTACAGTAGTCATGCGGGCGTAAGAGAGCTTAGAATTTGACGATCAATTCTGGATTTGCAGCTTAATAAGCATAGATCAGCGAAACTGCTTAGTGAAACCAAGAGTTACGGTATCCCATATTGAGATGGAGCTTACCTTTGCATTCCTAGCAGCAGGGTGAAGAATGTTATGAGAGTATTGAAAAAGAATGGTAAGATTTCCATGCAGACCTTAAAAAGAAAATAATCACGATTATCAACAATTGAATTGAAGCACTCACCTTTTGTAGGTAGCAAAGAAATTCCGTCTGATTCAAATCTCGCATATGGCCAAGGTTATAATAGTAGATTGTAAACGGCAACGGTGATGCAGCCATCAGTAAAGCGCTAATCGCCATCCACATGAGCGGTTCGACTGTGGCACGTTTCTAAAAGCAAAAATCTAGTATAAATTCTCAAAGTAATTATGAGTAAATGGACCTAGACAACCAAGTAATCATTGTATTTTGGTACTCAGATGTATTTGTTCTATATGTTTGAATACTCCACACCCTCAAAGGTGTACTACAAAATTCATGATTAGACATACACTGAGAAAATATGATCTTTGAACAAGGAACATCATAAACGAATGTGCAATCAAAAGTTAGAGTATCGGTCAAATTAAATGTTGATAAAAATTACAAGCACTAAGATTCTACTCCATGCCATTATGACAACAATATCAAGCAATGTCATACCCTATTCAGTTTGTTTTCAACCCTTTATTGACTTTTCTTTTCATTTTCCAATTTATTAGTCCCAAGAGGCTTCCTCTGTTTCAAAAAAAAAACTGTCGAATTACAGCACGTCCGCGATGGCGATAAAATAAATTACAGACCATGCTGGCGCATTCTCTATCCCTAGAACCTTTCATTTTTGCTTGAGTCATAAATATCTCAGTTATTCTCAGTAGTAGGTAAAATTGTACGGACTCTTTACTTATGCATGATCTATGAGTTTACAGAAAGCAATTCAAGTTTTGTAGTCTCTTGAGCCACAACAATAATCAGAATTACTTCAAATTGAAACTCAAAAATCCACAAGTTCTCACTAATGAGCTACGGAGACGCAGAATTCATATTTTTTAAGTCTGCTTGGTTTAGCGTCGCATGTGTAGGAAGAATAATTTGTCTGAAGCATATTGAATTATGGGTACAGAAAATACTAGATACTGCGAAAAATCAGAATTCTTTTCACCATAGCCTTCTCCAAAAAAAGCAGAAAATTATACCTTGGGTTAATGATGATTCTGGGCTCTTGCAGGATTATCACATAAAATTTTGAGAATTCTTGTATTCCTGGAGAATTTCTAGCCAAACACTAGCTGCGCCAAATCTTATCACCTCTTCTGATTAATGACAATCGCTACATAAGTGATTTAGCGAGCTAATAACCAGCCACAGATTGTCATATAATGACTGTGATTCCTTAAGAATATAAATTCTCATCCATCTGCCTACACATCCCATCAATTTCTCAGTACATCCGATTCCTATTATTGTAGGAAGACATTCTAACGATCGAGTACAGTTGAACAATTTTCGTGAGAAAAAGTCGCATAAACAACAGGAAAGAACAATCATAAGAATGTGCCTACACTTACCGTTTTTTGTTCGTTCAAAACAAAGATCACAACGCCGTTGGATAGTAGAACTATGATAGACAGTACGGGTAGTAGAAAACCGTAGATAATCTTCATATTAGGTTCGTTTTCCTAAAAATTTTGTCAAACTTTACTGAGGGCATGATAAAATTATTGATCTACCGTACCTGATCAACAAACTGAATCAAAGTTGCTGGAACACAGTAGTTCATATAATGATCGAATACTGTGAACGGATCTTCGCATATTGGCAGTTCTTCACCGTAAATCTGAAAGAAAAATACCACTTTTTCGAGAAGATTCTGTTGCAAGCAGATATGATATTTTTTGATTTTTCCTGCATTTTCAGCATGTTTTCCTAGCTTTTAATTTCCCTTTTTCACTACATTTTGGCTGTCCAAAAAAGCAAACAAATTATCTAATTTATTATTAGTCAAAAAATCGTAAAGGAGAAAAGTTTACATATTATGCATAGAACTATGTTTCTCCCCACCCTCTCCTCTTCTTTTTTAGGAAGGGATAATATAAATGAGAAAGAATAGATATTAAAATCAAAACAAAGGGTTATTTAAGCCTTTTTGAAATAGTAGTAGCGATAAGATTTAATATATATGAGAAAGTTTCTTGGGACAACAATTCTGAAAAATCGCTAGAATCCCTTTCTTTTCTTTTTTAGCAGTCATCCACATGCTTATTTTGGCGTTTTTTTTGGAAGGCTATGGCTTTTCGTTTCCGAACGGCTCGAAAGCACTAATCAACCATAGGCAACAAGCATGCCACAAAAAACCCATTAATTTTTCCAAAAAAAGCAGTAAGGGAAAACAAATTGATCCCCTTGCTTAGAATTCTTACCTGGTTGGGATCGCAAAATTCGATATCTTCGTAAATTCCTGCCATTTGCCAAGGATCGTCTTTTCCTAGTAATTGCCAGATGGCATAAAGTTGAAGTAGTAAAGCCTAGAAAAATTTTTTAAGGAAAACTTTGCACTGGGCTAAAGGCAGACAATGTTTACGATAGCTTAGTTGTACGTAGACCATAGATTAGAATACGTAGTTATGGGTGATTGAAGACAATTTCCTCATTTGAACATTATGGACGGAGATCATCCAAAGGACTGATGAAGAAAACGGATTTTCAAAAAAAAAATGTGCCAAAATTAGCTATATCCATTGAAAATCGACTTCAAAGTTCTCTCCAGGAAGCAGATGCTCTAATTTAGCGCAGAAAATTAGTGAAACAAGAAAAACGAAGTGGCTGGATTGAGTTCGCTAGAAAAACGAAATAGGTTTCAGCGAAAAAAGTGTGGTTCAATGACGTACGGAAAGGAACAAAGTAACAAGAGAGAAAATGAGAAGCGCCTATGGTATGTATGTGAAGGGCGTGCTAATGAAAGGTTTGCAAATGATAGATAGAATAGTTCTATGTTTTTTATCTGGAAATGATAATTTCCCGAGGATAAGATAAAAGCGAGGGAGGGCTCTGTTGGCAAAATTGAAATACTGATAAGGGCAGTAAGATTCGATGACAATTAAATTCAACAATCCTTACACAACTTGGAGACTAAATAAAGCACTATTGACAGCCGAGAACCTCTCAAAGAAACTTGTCAACCGTGCTTTTGAGGGAATATATACATACTAGCTGGCATACCCGGCTCCGCCGTATGTTCCGAATAGAAAATTCCATTTCTTAACCGATCCGAACCAAACTTGGCACACATACACTTCGGGCCCCGGCGGGTGTCACAGTCCACTTTTCGTTATCGATCGATGTCGATTTTATCAATTTTTTGCAAAATTTGAGCTAGGGGGCTGGAATTTGGCAGAGGGGTGTAATCGAGCATGCTGATTACGAATACAATATTAGTTTTCGAAACCGTGCATTACTTTTATCGATAAAAGTAATGCACGGTTTCGAAAACTAATATTGTATTCGTAATCAGCATGCTCGATTACCCCCCTGTGCCAACTCCCAGCCCCGTAGCTCGAATTTTGCAAAAAATCGATAAAATCGATATCGATTGATGACGAAAAGTAGCCTATGACACCCGCCGGGGCGTAGTGTATGTGTGCCAAGTTTGGTCCGGATCGGTTCAGAAATGGAATTTTCTATTCGGAACATACGTACAGACAGACAGACAGACAGACATACAGACAGACAAACAGACATTCAACTTTATATATAAGATAGAAACAGGAAATTTTGGTTAAAAACCAAGTGTTTAAAATAGAAATAGACTATGCACTAAATTTCCTGTTTCCACCTATCTACATAAATTCGCAAACGATGAGAATCTTCGATAGTTTTCCAAGAAATGATGGACATGCTAAAGCGGGAAATCTTGAGGTGGAAAAAAATTTAAAGGCGAAGAATTACCTTTACCACTGAAAATTTTTTCTATCGCATGTCTACAGGTTCCTCGGGAGCTGAGTTTGAAATTTTGGGCATTTGAAGATCTTTAGAAGCCGGAGGAATTTAAGTTGGAAAATAGAATTTATGTAGTGTGGAAAAAAATCAAAAAGTACACCGTAAAATTTCCTGGTTTTACATGTCGGTGTAATTTCACGAATGAGAGGAAAATTTGGATTGAGTTGTAAACGTGCATAAGTGGGAAGGCTCGAGTTGAAAAACATATGGACCAAGCACAAAGCATTCGTCCTAAAATTTCCTGCTTCTGGTTGTCTATGTAACTTCTCGAAATGTAAGGTCAGTTTGGTGTGTTTTATAATACAAGCGTGACAGTTTACGTGGAAAAAGTATGAAGTAAACATAGGTGAAAATTATAAAAGCTTAAAGCTTTCCGTTCCTACACGTCTGCATAATCCGTAAAAGCTAAACGATCCCAGCCATTCATTAGGTAATTGAAGATGCAGCTAACACACAGGATGTGCTTGAGTGTGTCTGTCTCGTACGCCGACGATGCTCTAACACATTACAAACACACGTAAGAGGCGGGACACACGTGGTTGTAAATCCTATAATATGGCATGCACCAGGGCCGGTAGTAATCCCCCCGACCTGGCGGCAGGTCTCGTCGGCAGGTCGCTGGCACCTTTTCCGTGAGGTGGCCAGAAAGTGAAACCCCAAATTAGGCGGTTCCAGATCTATTTCCAAAGAATTTCCTCGATAAAGATGCCGCCTAGACTCTGTAGAAAACTCCATACAAATCTGCGGTTCTAGAAATCCTCCTGTAGGAAAATATCTGGAAGCGCAGAAGGAGCTGCCGGCAACTTCGCGATGTAAGTTGCCGGCAACCTGCCGGCAGCTCGTCGAAATCCGGAGATGGCAGCTGCCGGCAGGTCAGAGAGCACGGGAAATAGCGTGCTCTTTTGAGAGAGGGAACTGCCGGCATCTCTACGTGCCCCTACCACGTCGAGGTGGTGGCACCTTTGCCGATGGCGTCTGCGAGTTTGCGAATTGCGGCGATATCACACAATTTACGTCAGGCGAAAAAATCAAAAATTCTACTTTTCATCAAAAAACTATCATTTTCTCATTATATGAGTTTTTCTTTTTTGAAACTACGATTTTTTTTACAGAGAAAAAATCCAGTAATGCCTTAGAAACTTAAAGAACACCATCTTTTTCGGCAATCCCTTATAAATCTCGTTTGCACCGATTTCGCCCCTCTCTCGCTCATATCAATCAGCTGTTCTTTCAGGTCAAAGTCTCTCGCGCAATGTATCGATCCCTCTTACAGGCAACCATTTACCAGCGCGTTCCTCCTACTGCTGGTGCAAACGACAATTGTTGACCGAATGGTCGAATGGTTAACGTGGTGGCACTTCAAGTTAACGCACATAGGTTCGACCGCGCGCGAGGTAGCACTTTTGCGGCTGTCTGCGTCATCAAAATATAATGTGCGAAATGATGCGTGCTAAGGTTAGATAAGATTATTAAAGCCTACAATCACTCCGCGAGCTGCCGGCGAAGTTGGCATCTTTCCGCGATGTGTGCCAACTTGCCGGCATCTTTGATGCCACCAGGTAGGGTAGATTACTACCGGCCCAGATGACTAAAGAGATTTTAGATGAAAAATGGTTTACATGGAAGAAGAGCAGTTTTATCAATCATATAAAATCAATATATTGATTTGAAGGCAATGACATCTTTACCACTGATACTGGAAAAAAATGTTGCTCCTACGGATCGAAATTTTTGAAACTTACAACTGCATAAAATCTGAGAAATCACTCTTAATTCCAGTGGCGGACCGGCCACCCCCCCCCCCCCCCGAGAATGTGTCAGAAATTCAAAAGAACTATAGAGGTTTACTTAGGGTTATAAAAATGTGTAGTTGGTTGTTTAATCTTGTGAATAATTGAAATAATTTTTGGAACTTTTAAAAAACCAAATTAGCCTTACGAAAGAAATTTTCGGGGCGTGGCCGCCATCTTGCCCCCCCCCCCTCCCTTCCGGACGGAAATCCTGCACCCGCCATTGCTTGATTCACATACAGATTGACTTCAAAAACTTTTAACAAAATTGAATACCGTAATCTCATGAGATACAGAAATATAGATGTAAATGGAATCAAAGACCACAGCGCGCTATAAATTTGTAAATCTGCTAAAAAAATCAATATATTGATTTGATTGTGCACAGGAGCACCTTCGCAATTGCTACTATGTAAAAGTGCAGCCTAAGAATACAATTTTTTGGAAGATGAATTGGCATACGAACTGAAACAACCATCCTTCTTCATTTTTAAAAGCATGATTAACTTTCTGAAAAAAAATTTTTTTTCAAAATACTGCGAATACAGTAACCCATAACACGATAACAAATAGACATAGACGTAACTAGTGAATAGAAGAATTTTATAATAGGTCTTATCTTCATAGTACATCCGTAATTTAGCTGAGTTAATTTCTTTGAACTTTTAACGTATAAGGAGGTTCAGAAAGAGGGTTAGTGAGCATCTGGGGGTGTATGTCAAGAGGCGCGATTTTTATTGCCAGCTGGACACCAAATAGCACATAATAAGTGTTTTACAACTTTCTAAAAGTGTATGAAATTTAGAAAAAGATATATTGGATAGTTGCATGGGTTGCTCAACCTTTATACTCATAAAAAATCCAAAACAGCAATTTCTAAGGTCAAAAACACATGAAAATGCATGTAAGAACAAATTTGTAGATATTTCAGTCCGTTCTGAAGCAAAACCCATGAAACTCAGCAAGTGGTAACCTTAGACAGGTAGTAAGCCAACGCATTTTACCTGGTAATTTTTAGAGACTCGCATAGCACTAAACTGGAGTTTTGAGCTGGTGACAGCCGGAGAAATCGCGCCTCTTGACCGTCTCCCAGCATCTGGTTATCCCCAAAATCTATTCTTTGGAACAATTATTTCGCATACGACTCCTTGAATGCAGGAATATAAAGTTTAAGAGGCCACTTTGATTACGAAAATAAAAATTCCGACGCTATAAAATCGTAATCTCCATCCATTCTTCTATTGAATGCTCTCCTCAGTTTTGAATAATTTTTCTTTTGCTTATCGTTATGCTTTGGGTACAGAACACATTCTGAAGCGAAACAAAAGTTTCATAAAGACGCCTAATAATGGCCGAAAGGCTTCTCTTAAGCACTCGGGCGTTCAGAAAAACAAAAGGACTGCAAAATTCAAGGGATGAATGGAACAAGGGATAGTGAATTGTATTGAATCATTTTACAGAAAAAGTAAATTGATGCGCTTTGAAAAAAAGATGACTTAAGAAGGGCCAGACAAATTGCAGTTGGTTTTCAAGGAAAGATGATTGCGAGAGTTACTTCAAAGAGCTGCACCCGATTCTTTTCCATCGAGATCAAGATATTTGCCAAGCTATTCATAGATTCTCATTGATATTTTTCTACAAAAAATCGAAAATAACTAGCTTTGCCAGAAATAGAACACAAAATTGTCCAATATGAAGCACCATGAACCATAAATCACATTTATAACCAGAAAATAACTCC